GAGCCTAGTTTAATCTCAGTGATATAGTTAGAAACCTTAGCAGCTTCTTGGGAACTGAATGTAGAGTCAAGTGGTAGGAGTCAAACTAGGATAAATCATTTGTGCAAAGCTCATCTCTCCTATCTCCTATGTTTGGTGATTTTGTTCTTACACTTTTCTTGTAATTTCTACAAATTTTCTTTAAATTTTAATTAGCCCAATTCACCCCTCTTGGGGTCTTTTACATAATTGCCAACCTAGGAGCATGTTTTGTATGAATGAACATGTGACTCCTTATTTTGATGTATTTGTATATGATGGCCATGAAAAGGGTTTTTGACACTCATGGTCTTAATTTGTGACGACAAAATTATGTTTTTTTTTTTTTCAATTTTGAGATTAATTTATGACAAGCTATGTTAATTATACAATCATACTTTATATTTGGTGGTTGTAACCCAACTGTGAGAATTTTCATGTGCATGAGTGAATGGTAGAGTTATAAATGTTGGTTGACATGATTTGGATGTTATCAAGTGGTTGGCATGTGAGTTTTGGCTTTGGTTTTAGTTTCATAAAGGGATTTGTTTGGAAAAGTTGTTTTTTAGGCTCTTGATAGGTTTTAGCTAATAAAATCTTTAGTTGGTAGTAGTGTTGTGTCAAACTAAAGGTAATAGCTGGATTTTGAAATAAGTTTTATGTAAATACTTGAGTAACTTAATTTAAATATTTGTAGAGAAAGTTGTGCATAATTAAAGTTGGAAATTACTATTCATTCTGCCAAATGTTGTCATGGCCTTGTGTGTTGCAGTGGATGAAGCCTTTGCCACAGCACATGCCTCTTTATGTCACACGCTGTAACATATGACTCATTTTTTATGAAATGCTCTTATTTTGTATTTTTGTTTCTAAAAAGGCCATTTTGATATTTTTACTCTTATATAATCTTGTCATGGACGATTTTGTCCTTGGGAACCATTCTTTATTATCATTAATGTATTATGTCAATATTATGGATGGATGTTTTCCCATTAGGTACACTTTTAATTAATTTAGTTTTCTTTTAAATTATCATGGTAGGCCTAGTTTTTTACATTTATAATTCTTTTCACTATAATAGTTCTTTTTTTACTATAGTAATTGACTTTGAATTTTTTTCATTATTATGGAAAACATTTTTTACTATGATAAATCTTTGTAAAGTGAATGTAATTCTTAATTAGTAGACTCCTTTCCATCACAATAGAGCTTTAAAATAACATCTTTTGTTCTTTCTATCATGATAAACTTTTTATTGCCAAGGTAATGTTCATAAAATACTTTTTATTCTTTCTATCATAATAGGCACTTCTCTATCATGATAAATGTTTTAAAGTTTATTTTTGGTTTAAGTGCCTTTTTTTAATGAAGAAAATTGTCTTTAAAAATTAAAGCATTGTGAATATCATCTAAACGTAAGGATGAGTTTATGAAGATCACGCCTATCGAAAAGCAAACGCGAGCTGGTCAGATTCATTGTTGTCAGTAATGACAATGGACATGTGGGGCTATGCTTGAAGTGCTGCAAGGAGGTCGCCGGAACGTGGTCCAGTACCATTGATGAGTTTACTAGCAAGGGTGCGATCGTTCAAGTGTGGCTGGCCATTGTTGTCATCGTTGATGTTAAGATTCAAGGAGGGATTGCCTCCAATCTTGAATGTGACACTGAGCACGAACCGGTCAAGAAATCAGTTTTGTCCTAGTCTGCGATGAGCGAAATCTTTAAGAGGCATCTGTGTGGTCAATATGGTTGATGAACTTGGATTCCTTGTGAAAATTGTGGCCGTTGGAGAAGGTGTTGAATACCTTCAACCTTTTGATGTAGAGGTCTATTTTCATTCTTGTCTTGCCAACGGGGAGAAGGGGAGGCTTCTTTGTCAATTGGACTTTCATCGGTATTCTCTTCTCTTTTGGTCTTCCCGGTTTGTATTCCCTGGGTCATATATTGGAGGCATCTCTCATACATGGTTCGGTTTCATGGTTTTATATATCTCCTAGGTCAGTTGGTTCAGTTTCACTTGTGCCGTGTGCCGTGTGAAATTGTGCAGTTTCGATTTTTGAAATGGACAGTCAAAAGGGGGATTCAAATTCATCTGACATGATGATCTTTGGTGGGGATGGATTTGATTTCCTATACTTTCCCGTGTAAGCCTCTTTGGAATGATCTGGTGAACCCGACATGAAATTATTTCCGGTTTACTGTCGCAATATTCTTCAGCAGATTGGGCACAAGAAGGAGGTGACCCATGTTTGGTCAGTTCCATGGTCTAGTTCATGGAGATTTTGATTAGTGGTTAATCATAATTAGTTGTTAGCTTAAGCTTATATAAGAGTTAAAGGTTAGGTATTTAGGTAGGAAAGTTCATTGTAATCCCTTATGGTGTGTCCCCATAGTTTAGGGTTGGTTCACCTTTCAAGATAGGGTCATGTTCTCTAAATCAGTCTAGTTGGGTTTGCTTTTCATTGTCATTTGTAGATGATTAATGAATTAAGGTTTATCATTTAGTGTTTGATATTCTTCTTTCAACTATCTTAACAGAAAAACACCCAACAAGTTTATAATGAACTGAGCATTAATTTGCATGGGTGTATAGATCAATTGGGAAACCAAAAACATGAATCCAAATTGTAACCTCAGAAAGCTTAACAGGGGGTCTCCAACGTTGAATGACAACCAAACAACTTTTAAAGCCCCCATGGCCCAGCTTGTAGCATGAACTCCAGATCCATGGAAGATTGATACCAAGAAGGATCACTGAACTTCGAATCAGATGAAGGCATCATGGTTGGAGGTCGTAGGTTATAATAAATGATCCAAAGAATTTGAAACAAACAAGTGAAAGAAGCCAAGAAGAAAATCCAAAAGAAAAAAGAGGAGCCTAACCAAAAAGGAACGAGGACTGTGTAGAGTTAAAAAAAACTCTCCTTCCAATAAAAAAGAGTATACAAGTTCAAAAATATTTTTCATTATAATCGTCCATAGACTTCTGCCTTTTACTTATTTATTTATTTATTTATTTATTTATTATTTATTTAACTTACATTTTAATATTTCAACTATTATACTAAATCTAAGCTATAAAAGTTAATATCAATAGAGGAAAAAAAAAGAGAGCAAGCGATAGATAAAATTTGGAAAAATAACAATAAAATTCCTTTAAATTATATAAATGACATTTTAGTTTTTCAAAATGTCATAATTTTTCTGAAGTCTTTAGAGACTTTTTTATCATTAAGAAATTAATGTAAATAACCACATTACCTTTAGTTCAAGATTTCAAATGCGAACATGAGAATTATCATTGCATTTTTGCAATTTTAAAAAGAAAAGTATTGAATCTTAGAACAAAACTTGTAAATAGTAATTGATGTTTATAATACTTAAAAAATATTAAGATTTTAAAGATAAACTTTTGAATTGCTGTTGAATTATTGTGATTTTAAAAAGTTGCAAATCTTAGAATAAAATTTGTGAATGACAATTGATATTTGCAATATTGAAGGAACATCAAAATTTCAAATGTGAATGTACGAATTGCTGTTGAATTCTTATAATTCTAAAAAGAAAAGTTGTGAATTTTGAAATAGAACTTGTGAATGGTAATTAATATTTGAACTAAGGACAATTTGATCATTTATATTAATTCCTTAATAATAAAAAAGTCTCTAAAAATTTCATTAATATTATGATATTTTGAGATACCAAATTGTCAATTACATAATTCAAAGGGATTTGTTGTCCTTTTCTCATAAAATTTCCCTAATGCTTGATCTATAATTTTCAACTAAAGCTTGATATATTCCCAACAACTCTCGTTTTTCCCAGTAATAATTTATTCAAAATCCAAATTATCAATTTTAATAGACTCATTTTAAAAATGCCTTATTGACTTAAGTAGGCATTTTTCCTTCATGAAAAAATAAATTAGATTTTAAGTACTATTAGCTTTTATACATACAGGCATGGTGAAAAAAGAATCAGCCTTGAGGACTAGCCAAGTTTCAAAAATAAGAATCCCAAACTTTTTCAAGCCCATCCCTTTAATGCACTTTCAAGCCTTAATTCTCAGCTCTATATTTGAGAACCAAAAAGATCATTATCTAATTATTCCAATATTATTTGAGTATCAATGAATCAAGAAGCTTACTTTGAAGTTTGGACACATTTCAACCAAGATTTTAACATTACATCTTTTCCTTTCTTGCGTGCTTCATATTATCTTTTTCAATATGTATTGTAAATATATATACCTAGAACAAGATTCTTCTCACACCAAACAAGATTCCAACTAATAATCATCACAATCTAAGACATTCAAGCAAAGAGGAATATGAAGCATATGAATATGATCTTTAAGATCCTAAAATGTCTTGCCCCCTCTTATTTTTGGTCCTCTTGGGTTTGTTTCTGTGGATGGATATGATCTTTAAGGCCCAAAAAGTCTAAATGGTTATTATCAGCATTTTGTTTCCAAAGATTAAGACATTTTCGCAAATAAAAAATAAAAATGGAAATTTTAATACATAATGAAATTGAAATGTTCCAATCTCTAAAATGTATTACTTGTACATGACAGGGACGGCACATCGTATAGTTAGATTCCGTCAGAAGTATCAACTATACCTTTGTATCAAAATACAACAAAGCTTCTATATATTTATTTGCAGAATTTGACATGTAAAGTACACAAAAACTTCAGTTCAATTGCTAGTTTATATTCCCCTCCAATATAAGAGTCCAGCTGAGAGAGTAATCGAATGCTTCACACACATAACCAGCCTGCCCCAGAAATGTTATAATAATCTGAAAGATCTAAACATTTTGTGCGTAGATTGAGCTTAGAGTGCACTTGGAGTTTCTTTACATGAAATCCACCTCTCAAACAAGCCAAAACCAGATAATTCCAACAATAAAGGGGAGAGAAGTTCACAAATAATAATAATAATAATAATAATAATAATAATAATAAAAGCATGGATCCTTTTCAAATGAAAACTTTTTTACAATTCAGTTTAAACACTATACCATTACAGAGCTCAGTTGATTGTGAGCTTGAAATTCATGCTTCTGCATTGTAGGCATCCTAATCCCTCTTTCTGATTTGGGAACAATTTATCATTTGAGCTTCGTATAAGTAATCATTGTATACTTCTTAGTACAATATACCATATATATTTATTCCCTCAGCCTTTCCATCTATACAAAACTACTAAAGGTGTTCTATTTAGTCAAGTTCAGGCTAAAATCCCAGAGTTTCCTTGCCAAGTCCATGTCCTTTGGTCGTGAGGTTGGATTTGCCAGATTACTATTTGAAAAATACTGACCACTAACTCCCTCCACTTGCGGGTGCAATGCCACATAACAGGTTGTTGCAGCTCCCTACATTAAAGGTTGGAGTCAATGACAATGAACAAGACAGCCAAATTTCAGCCAAATTCTCGAAAAAGTATGACGGGTATCTAAGTGAGGTGGGAAACCCTACCCCAAATGCTAGCTATTGAGATAGAATAACCAACCCACTTAAACACCCAATTGAACATCCCATACTGCTATATGATGTGAAACTTGATATCCCATACTATCACGTATCCATTAATTAATCCTCCATGGAATGCCAACGTTCCAACAGTTATATTTACATTCCATGATATTTAACTCGGCCTCCTGCCTGTCAAAAGACTCCATGGGTAACTCTCTTCAGAACTGACAATAACCTGGCTCTGATATTAATTAATGGGTACCTAAATGAGATGAGGCACCCTAACACAAAAGCTAGTTGTTGAAGTAGGAGAACTAACATGCTTAAATACCTTTGAGCATCCCATACTACTTGGTGTGAGACTTGGTACTATCAAGTCTCCATTAAAGTATCTAATATATTTCCATTCTCATGTTGGTCCATCACAACTAAAAATTTATCCAAAGTAAACCTTAGGCTGTGTGCATGGTGTAGAATTTTAAAGAGTAAGTCGCAGTATTTATGACTTGGAAACAGTCCATCTTAGTTATATATCTAGACAAGTCCCTTTTAGTGAAATGCTAACTTAGCTGGTGAACAGTTAATGATGCCATGTTAAAGACATTAGCAGAATTGGGGGCCACTTATGAAGTGGTTTGAATGTCTTTTGGATTAAGAAGGAGCAAAATAGAATGAAAATATGTCAAGGATGAATTTTGAGGAATTTCCCATCTGTGGAGGCACAAGTTTTTAAGGTGAGATCATGTTAACATACCTGAGGGACATCTTTAAGCACAAATTTCCCAAGCACATTAACAAGACCTGCATAAGCATAAAAAAGAAGCACACCAATGAAGCTAAAACTTGTTGTATTCTGCTTAAAATATACAAAATATAACACTGTTAAGTTGAAGTTGCCAATGCTCTTAATCATAAAATAAGAAAAAACACAATTATCGATCCCTATAGTTTCATCGTATTTTGTTTTTAATCCTTGAAATTTTTTTTCAAGTATTTTTAATCCTCATAATTTCAGTAAGATTATGTGACATTTGTTACTTACGTCCTTTTAGTTTCAATGTTTTCAGTTCCTATAAGGATTGAAAACATTGAAAAAACTGTAGGAGCTAAAAGCAAAATCCAATAAAATCATAGGGCCAATGATTGTGTTTTTCCAAATAAAAAATAATGTTTGGCCGTAATGCTTTCACCTGTTTGGCCAGCTTGTCTGAACAAAGGTGCTGCTTTGTTCACTGTTATTTCTACCTTTCTTTTTTATTTTTTGATAAGCTTCTGCTTATTTATCTAAAAAATAATTATTTTAATTTTAGTGTTTGACCAAGCTTTACTGAAAAAAATAACTGTCTCAGAGTGGTGGCCGAATCAGTTTTTTTTTTTTTTTTTTTTTTTTAGCGGGCTGTCATTTGAAGCAAAATGGGTACAAAATTAATTATTTTAAGACAAGTACCCACACACAACCTCTTAAATAAATTGTACTGCATACCTTCTTGACTACACGCCCCATTTTAGAGATTGTCCAAACAAAATAATGTCGAGCAAAAAGCATTCATCAACCGATTCTTAAATAACTAATAACTTGCTTCTTTTTTACAACACTCTCCAATGCAAGAGGAATTTGCTATTCGCAAAAAGATCTCAACAAATGATATTATGTAAGAACAGAATCAAATTGCACTCAATAAGAAAAAGTGAGTTATGCATAATGCTAAATATAAACAAGATAATATAGTATTTACCATTCAATACACTGCTATGACGGAAAAGATTAGTGACGATTGCTCCAGGGTGAAGAGAATTTGCTGTAATATCCACGCCATCTTCCTGATCAAGAAGCAGCAAATAAATATCAGATTTCACAGGTAGCTGACGAAGCATAATCAGAGAACCATCTTACTCAAACCAAAAGATGTAAAGTAATAGATAATAACAAAAATGACAACAACTGCAAACAAAAATGGGCTTATAACCATGGTTGTCTCACCAAGTCACAAGACAAACAAAAGTTGTTCACTAATAAAACCAACTATTTTCGAAAATAAATGCAACATTAGCAACCCTGAAAACCTTCAATTCCACAGAAAAAGAGGACATAGAGAATGGGGTAGAACAAACAAAGCTGACTCTATAATGAGCTAGTCTTCAGCCACATCAGAAGATAAGCAAAGAATTCTATTGATAAAACTATTTCCCAAAAATACGTGTCTATGTGATTGCACAAGCTAAGCCAGCTGTCAGCATACCTTGAAATGCCTTGCAAGTTCATTGGCGTGTAAGATATTTGCAAGCTTTGATTGTCCATACGCAGGCCAACTGCTGTAACTGCACACAGGCAATCAAACATCATCCCCATATACATTGCATCTTTCCTTCAACAGGTAATATTCAATTTTAAATGCAACTAAAGTGTTCACAAGCATAACAATATCTGTAGTCTGACAATGTTTTATCAGCAGATATCCTGTATAGAGAATTTAATCACATGTCTTAGGTAAGATTATCAGCAGATACATATGGTAATGTAAAATTTTGTGCACCTTCATATTGGGAGAGTATTTGCTTAGTCGAGAATTCTAGATAAACAATCTTATGACACTTCATTCTATAAAAAGAAAATTATAATGATAACAAGAAGCCTTATCTTATTAGGTGGAGTCGATTACATAGGCTCCATGTCACCATTGTGTTTTATCAACAATGAAATCTCTAGAAATGTTCACCTGAAGATTGCTTTTGATAATTTTACTTAGTGTTGTCTTTAGTCTTCCCTTATCCCTCTTCAAAGGATTAAAAATTTTATGTTCTACCCTTCTCACCAGCATCTCCATTGGTTTTTTTTTTTTTTTGGAACATGTCCAAACTGTCTTAGACAATTTTCAACCATTTTTCCACAATAGATGCCAAATCAACTCTTTCTCACATGAGATCATTTAAATCTTATATTTTCTTGTATGTCCACATATCCATGTCAACATCCCCATCTCTGATATCCCAACTTTATGTTCTTGGTGTCATTTTAAAGCCAAACATTCACTATCATATAGCATAGCTGGTCATATAACAAGCGATAAAATTTTCCTTAAAGCTTATCAAGGACCTTCCGATTGCAAGTAAAACATGTAGCCTTCTCCATTTGAACTACCTAGTATTCTATGTCCAATATCCCTATCAATTTCGCTATCATTTGTCAAATGGCTCCCAAATATTTGAACTTGGTCACTTGTGGTATGATCTTATCTCCCACTTTAACCACAAAACTACTATTAACTTGCCTCTTATCAAATTGATAGTGAAAGTAAAAAATAATAAAGTCTAAATATTAATTGCAACACCAATCATAAACAAAAATCCAGTATAATTCGTCGTTCCTAGGATTTTTTATTCGTTACCTTGACTGATCATTGATTTTATCAAAACGAATTCCTTCACGGTAGGTGAACCGGTGAGCCTCTGAAGAGATATTAACAATTCTCCCTTGCTTCTTGCTTTTATTTGCAGTTTTCTTCATAGTATCCAACAAAAGATTTGTCAAAAGAAAATGACCTGTGAAATTATATGAAATTCAAACAATAGAATTAAGATAAGTTCCTAACATTCAAACTTCGTGAAAGTAAATTAAATTTTTTGAGTAAATAGCGACCCCATCATACAAGTTGAGAGAGACAATTGATGCAGAAAAAATAAGCATAGATCTCATGTATTTAACACTGGAATTTCAGAGGAGAAAAATACTTCTCTAGTCTTTCATACTGAGATAAGCTAATGTACACTAGGAGGAAAGACTAACAATAAAGACTAATAAAGTCTAACAACTACTCATAAATGCTATAGAATAAATACTCAATATTCCTACAAAAACATCAAAAGAAACGGACAAGAGAGAAGTTGCCTTGTCTTTGCTGCTATAGCAGCAATCACCTCTCATCCTTATATTTCTATTAATCTGAATAAAAATAAATAAATAAATCACATTCCCTCAGACTGTATTGAGACCCCCTTTCCATGTTAGCTGCCTTCCCCGCAGACAGGAAAATTTAAGAGGGAAAATTATGATTTTGAAGCATTAGTATATCATTGGTAAAATGTCCAGAGCAATATTGAACAAGAGTTCCATTCTATAATTAAAAAAACAGTAAGATGATCAATTATCAATGTTAACAAAAAGGAAAAAGGAAGCACTTCTCACGTACCCAAGTGATTTGTTGCAAACTGTAGTTCAATATTGTCTTTGGACAGCTTGAAAGGAGTAGCCATAATTCCTGCATTGTTTCTTTCAATTACATCAAACAACAGGACATTACCATTTGTTTTGTTGCTTGAACCATCAGGATTAAAATATCTCCATTCAAAAGACAGAAAACATTTTCCAAAACGTATTACAGAGAGACACATGCACATACGCATGCACACAGACATGAATTAGAAAATTTTGTCAATGCAGCCCATTTCATTTTCTTACATTAGGATGTTCAATGGAAGACCAGAGGAGTTATAGTCTGCTGCAAATTTGCGGACAGATGCCATCGAACTAAGATCTAAGTCCATGGCATCAACTTTAGCTGGGGTATCTCCTTAAGTATAGCTTCTTTGACGTCTTTAGCAGCAATCATATTCCGCACAGCCATAATCACATGGACACCACGCAAAGCAAGAACACGTGTAGTCTCTGTTCCAATGCCACTGGATGCTCCTGTTAATATCATCACAATGTCCACCAAGAACAGTGAATATGCAATTAATGGGTACATGTGGTTCAGCAACATGTATCCTGTCCAAAGCAAGGTTTCAAAGTAGCATGCGTGAAAAATCAAGAAGAAAATAAATACGAATGATTTTTAGTTTCTCATTATGTGAATAGAAACTGTCAGCAATTCTTAACATCCAGAGATTTCCACGTCCATGCGACCTCTGAATTTACTGCCATCGATAGATGTTTGAAGCGGGCAGTGTTCAAGTTATGTCTAAGCAAAAATTCTGACTACTGTTGCTGTATATACTCAATAAAGCAATATTCAAGTAATAAATCATAATGAATCAAATGAGGATCAGTGCAATATTCACTCAATTCTAGGCGGTTAAAAAAAAAAAGGATTTCGAGAAAAGGCATGAATCGCGTTATTAGGTAAGCATCAACAAGATGTTAGTGTTCGAAACTTAACCAGCGCGAGAGTCTTGGGTAGAGTACAGTCACCCAGCAATAGCATTTCATAGACAATCAGATAGAACTAGAGGAAGAAGCCAAAGTAAGAATGAAGAAGATTTGCGTTTTTATTGTCTTCGAAAACTGAAGTAGCACTGTGACAGTCGCACCTCTCTCCACAGATAAAACTGAATCCACATCGTGGGATCAAAAAGAAAATTGTCCGAAGTAACACCCTCAAGTCATCAATAAGGTATCAATTCCGCATGAAAATAAAGAGAACTAAAATTTGAAAAAAAAATTAAAACAAAAAACAAAAAAGGAGAATGAATCTCAGCTCTAACAAAGAAAAAACAATGATAACCTGTGACAATTGCAGTGAGGCCTCTCCCATCGATTCCTTCAGTAACTTGCTCAGCCGTGGAAGACGATGAAAACCCAGAAGACCCTTTTCTGCTGAACGGCCACATTGTGCTCCCAGTGGTGTTCCTGTTATCTATTTCCTCTCCACACCGATGCGATGATGCTCTAATAAATTGTCAAAATAGACGCGAACTTGATTTGACAACAAAGAAGTGATGGAGCAGAGGGCTATTTATTGCACGAGGAACGTCCAGAGCCAAACGACTTTTCAATTGAAATCCCCGGTTTTACGTTTGCCATTTGCCAACCCATCTTTCAAATGGAGCAGTTGTTTTATTGGTGATGTCATCTTAAACTGGGGACCTACACTTAAATAATAACTTTCACCGAGTGTTTTTTTTTTTTTGGGAATGAAGGCAGATTCTTTTTAGAAAAACTACAATTAGATCTCACAATAAAATCTTAAATACAAACAAGTTCCATGAAATAGAGAAATGACTCTAAGGCCCCATAATCCTTAGGTGTAATTTGGGTATCTAAAAAATGACCAAAATGATCCTAATTTGAATTCTGACCCATAATTAAAACTTTCTACTCAAAGCTTTATACAAGTTATTGAACTCCCTCTCATCTCATCACTCTTGCCTCTCGCCAAGTTTGCCAATTATGTCACTAAATTCTTGCGTCTTGAAAGATTTTCAATGAGGGACTCACCATCTTCGGTTTGGTTGACGTCTTTGACTTATTCAACATTTTCTTTAGGGACCTAGGATACAATCGCTCTTCATCCTTTCATTCTTTCACTTACTCAACTACCCATTTACATATAAATCAAAACCCTCGATTGTGTTTCTCTCACACTAGTTAGTTGCATTTGCTGTGACTTGGGATCACTCGCATTTTCTTTGTCTCTCTAGACGACACTAGGTTCGTTTTCCCCTCTTTTTAGTGCTTCTTGTGAAAATCTAATGAAATGGGAAAATCATTTGGGTGGTTCTGGTTTTGAAATGTAATTGATTGTGTGCAATGTATATATGCTAGTAAGACAGTAAGAAATTCACTCAAGAGGGGAAATAACTACTAAATGAGCATATGCTAGTGACAAGTAGGGTGTTGGACTAGTAGTATACAATGCATTAACTACTAAATGAGTGTTTGCTGATGACAAGTAGGGTTAGAACAATAACAAGTTGAGTTAGAAAATTATTGATAAGTAGTGTACAAGGCATTAACTCGTAAATGGTTATTTGTTGGTGATAAGAAAGATTAGGACAATAATAACTTGACTTAAGAAATTAACAAGTAGTGTACAAGGCATTAATAAGTAAATGATTATTTATTAGTGACTAGTAGGGTTAGGACAATAACAACTTGACTTACGAAATTGACAAGTAATGTACAGGGCATTAACTAGTAAATGATTATTTGTTGGTGACAAGTAAGATTAGGATACTAACAAGTTCACTTAGGAAATTGATAAATTTGCATACATGTATGTGGTTAATGTATGTTAAATCTATTCTAATTGTAATTTTCCTTAATATTAAACTCCTTAAATTTTTAATCAATTGAATATGGTAAATTTTACAAAAGGAGAAAAGAAGGCAAATATTTTTGGTTATGCAAAATTTGTTGAAGAATTCTATAAGAAAAACAAGAGTAAGTATAAGTCGATTGAGGAAGGATAGGCAGATTTGACAAAAGTATGAGAGAAGTTGTCAGTAGCAAAAAAGGAGGAATATTTAAAGAAAGCAAAGGAGGAGAAAGGAGAGACATCCACAAAATATACCATTCCCTTTCATACTCGTAGCTCTCCTAGTCAGTTTTCAAAAGTTACAAAGTATGTTAAGGAAAAGGACAAACTAAGAAAAAGGTGTGAGAATGTTGGGTTTGACAAGCTGCTCAATATAGGATGTAAGAAAATACATAGAGATATTTGTAGAGAGTTGATGCAAGCACTTAACCCTCCAACTTGAAAAATATGCATTAAACAGAAAGTGAGAAAAATAAATGTAAAGGATTTACCAAATTTGATGGGCATAAGGAATGATGGCAAGGAGCTAACTAGAGATGCAGATATTAATGAAAAATCATTCAAGAAATTGAGGGAAACTTACTTTAAAATGCCCTACAAGAAGATTTTAAAAATGATAACATTCAAGAAAGAGGATGCTCAATTTGAGCTGTTTTTAATGTATACTTTAGAAACTATGTTTTGTCCAATAGTAAATATAGAGATCATAACCATATTTTGAAGGTTGTATTTGAAATACATAAAGCAATTGGTGAATATAATTGGGCAACATATGTGTTTAATTAACTAGTCAATAAAGTGTTGGATAGGGAAGCATAGTGAAAGATTAAAATTTTAAAGTCACTATCCTGATCTAGACTAAACGAATTGATTTAAGTTAAGGTGGATAGAAGAGTTACCTTTTAATTCTTTAAACTTGGTGCACATTCTTTTCAAGAGTTTGGATCTCAGGTGCTGACAACATAGATCTGCTCCCTCTACCGGTATCTACAAGAACAAATCTCTAACTCAAATAACTTGCTAGCGTTCTCAATGTCCATTCTTCTATGAACATTAATTTTTCTTTTTATAGGGTGTTTCATGGCTCTCAAAGTGTTTTTGCCATCAAAATTTTTCTAACTCTCTCATTCTTCATAAAGGACGTCCCTATCTATATATAATATATAGATAAGGGTTTTTATCTTTCACTTAAAAGCCCACAAAAATTTAATTAAATTTATCTTATAAATTTAATCCATAATATCATATATAATTTGAATTTATTTTATAAATTCAAATTATAAAACTGACACATGATATTCTCTCATATCATGTTAGTTATTAAATTTAATCTATCATATAAAATTAAATTTAAAACTAACATAATATAATATAATATAATATAATATAATATAATATCACATGTACATATTATATTATATATATAATATATACATATATATTTTGAAAAAATATATATATATATATATAATTATATTTGAATTTTATATTTCATATAAATATAAATATATATATATAAATATTTAACAAATAAATATTCAAATATATATATAATTCATTCACCCTATATTACATTTATTGAATCTAGACATATTCCAGATTCAATGAATTTGGATATTATAGCTCGAGTTGGGCTGTTCTTGTGTGCGACCCTGTAGGCCCATATGAAATTGATAATAGGCTAATTACTCTATTTAGCCCACAAGTTATAAGTGGCTTCTAATAAGACATTGCAACTACCTAATTCACATAGGGATCGATGATCCAATGTAACTTATCATGCAACCATATCACATCTTTTTGTCACGTGATATTTCGATCAAGTATGAGACATGAAATTGTCATTCTCCTTTACTTGACCGTTACTTTTTTGGCCTTTGAGTAGACTGATAGTAGCAATGAAAAAACCCTTTCAATTGTAGTATGGCAATACATTTTCTCAGTCTTACTCATCAAGGGGCTAAGTAATATCTCTTACTTAATGTGAGGGATAAATTCCATCTTGACCACTCATATTCCTTTGCATGAATATCACTAAACTCAATCATAGCCTTTATGATCACCCGGTCAAAGGTAACTTTTGACTAGATCAAAGTTCAGTGGTCATTATGTAGGAATCCATGATAATCTCAGGTCAAAGGGCTTAGTGATATAGTTACATATGATATAAGCTTATGACCTGTATTATGTAGCTTTCTCATAGCGGGTCAGTGTAGCACCTTGTACTCTTTCAAGTGTCTATAACTTTAATTTATATCTCTATAATTAATCAAAGTTATACTAGTCTTGTTTCATCTATGATCCCTCAAAAATGACCGACCAATGACATTTAGGATAATCACTATAGTTTGTCCAGGGATATAGTTATCATATTGAACATGCAATTGTTATGATAATAAAAGAGAAATTCATTAAATAACAATGTGCATATCACAATGATTGGTCTTATGGCATAATTTCTAACATAAAGTAGATATATGGAAGCAATAACTAACTAAAGGGAAGACAACAACAAGGAAGAATGTTGGAGGATGCATTTAATTCCTCATGGTAAGTGTGTGGTTGTAATTTATAAATTAATAGAATGTCAATCATTATATTTTGAAAGTAATGTGTCAGATTTCATGCAAATTTATTGCTTCCAACATTTTCCTCTTGGCCAAGAAGAAGGACATAAGATCAATGATGCTCTTGCATATTGGGATGAGGTGAAAGTTGTCGAAAGAGTAAAGGTAGAGAAGAAGAGTATTCGGGGCACATTGCACGATCCATGAGTATAAATGGAAATTTATCTATCAAGTTTTATCCAACATGTGCTTTCAGTCACCCGATATGTATAGAAAGTGATCTTATCTCACAATGCTTTTTCTCTTCCCTTATATACTTGATTGTAGGTCAATTGCACACCATACTCTCTATACAAGTCTCTTCCAATTTTATTAGTAATCTTGTCTATAGTAGATCTCAAAACATCAGCAATGATCAATAATGTTAAATTTGACTTGTCAAGTATGAAATAATAAGCTTGTCCTGTGCATTATAGATGTGCTCACTGTTGAATCTTGTTACCCTCAGAAACTTACTATGTTTCCCTTTTGAATATGCTACAATGTTTCATAAATAGCCCTCAATCTTGCAGTTAGCAATAACCTCTTTTGTACTATTCTTCTTAAACTTGGATGAAAACTTATGGCTAATGCTATAATTGTACAAAGTTTGTCTAAAGGTCACTGCATCGGTAAACATTTAGCTTTTATCTATAACTAATTCCTTCCCTTTTGTCAAATTCATTTTAGGCATTAGTGGAGGCATCATTTGTACAGCACATGCCAATGGTGAGTTTTCAATTTCAGGATGCAAACTAGGAAGAGATAAAGAGCCTCTCCTAGAATCTTCTAATAAATTATCAATCCTGTAGAAAATTATAATATCAACACATTAATATTACTATATTTTAACATTATCTATGTTAATAAAAATAATTAAGACAACCTACACATGTTGGTACTCAATTGGGTCATCTATTGATACTTGTGCAATATCATTTCTATTTACAACTATATAAATATGTTCAATTTCTTCATTATATTTAATTAAATGTTCTATTCTATCATCATCAACAAGATATATAAGTGTTCTTCTGTCAGTGTTGAGTGTGAACTTCATTCCACTTCCATTGCTTTCACACCTCATAATTGATAATAACATTTTTCTCAATTCTTCATATGTTGTCCCTTCCTTTATACTTCTTGTTCTTACACTTCCACCTATAT